GGCGGGAAGGAGGGAAGGCGGCGGCCGGATGCGGGCCGGGCGGGAAGGCGGCGGCCGGATGCGGGCCGGGCGGGAAGGCGGCGGTCGGATGCGGGCCGGGCGGGAAGGCGGCGGCCGGATGCGGGCCGGGCGGGAAGGCGGCGGCCGGATGCGGGCCGGGCGGGAAGGCGGCCGCTGACGTGCGCTGTGAGCCCCGAGACCCGGAAGAGGCTCCTGGCCCGACGGCCTGGCCTCGGCACCCACAGGCTGCCACGTTTTGACAGAGACGGCCCCAAAGGCCGGGCTGCGGCCAGGTGGATTCCTCATGGTCAAGGTTAGTTATTACGCGTTACTAGCAACCTGAACCACGTCACAAAAAATACTTGGTACTTGAGGGAAAAAAAGGCCGTTTTAGAATGCATTCGGAAAAAAATTCATGTCTGCTTACAAAGAAATGTTTGTCAGCTATTGAACAGGTTATGAAATGCTATCCTTAGATGCTGGTTTAGAGCCATATTCATAACCATTTTTTGATTAAATATTTTTCTTTAATGTTTTTTGAAGAATGTTAGTGGATGGCAGGTCAATTTCTGAAAAACCATGAGAGACTCCCCGTGTGAGGAGGGAAATCAGTGTCTGTCTCTCCGTGTGGGTGGAATGCTGGCAGGGCGGGAATGAAATCCCCTATCTCATTTTATTTCCTGAAATATAACTGTGGTCTGGAACAGAAATTACTTAACGGAAAGGCTCAAACTGTGACACATTTAATTGATATAGGGGAGGTAATAATAAGCTTCTCCATCACTGGGCCGCAAACTGTGACTTTTGGATTCAAAATGCGTCCAAAGGAGCGCAGCCCAACGCCCAGGATGGGGCTTGGGGCGGGTGGGAGGAAGGGGTTTCCCAAGTGGAGGAGCGGGCATCGTGGAAGAGGCACTTGGAGGGTGTGGGAAGTTCATGTCTGGATAATTCCAAGGTGTTTGCTGAGTCTGTGTCCCTGAAGTATTTAATTACCCGTTTCTTAAAAAGCACGTTTTCAAAGACATCTATGAAAGGCTTTAAAGTAATTGGCGGTGTTCAGGGTCTGAACTTTGGAAAAGCTACAGGGAGCAGGCAGAGGTCCCCCCAAGGCTCATGCAGCTGGCTTGTGTGTGGAGGGTCAGAGCCGCTGCATCAAGGCTGGAGACCACAGCCGCCCAGAGCACCTTCCATCCTGGCCTTCCTGGCGGGGCCTACCTGTCTCGCCCAGAGCAAAGCCAAGGTACGTTTGCTGCGGCTCCGTCTCAGCCGTTTACTCCAGCGGTGCCCGAGCCCTCGCGCCTCCTCCTCCACCCCTGCTGCCGTGCAGTTCTCAGGTTGGGGGCTGGGCTCTGGGGCTCGGAGCATCGCCTCCATTCTCCCCGTCATGGGCCATGTCATCAGGGCTTTTCTCTGCTGAGCTGTGCCCTGTGTTTTAGCCACCGGCCTTTGCCCAGGGCCCTGGGCTGGCAGTGCCCTCGGCTGTCCTTGGCGGCTTAGTTCTGTCCTCGCCTTTGAGGCTGTGTTCCCTGGGGGTGTCTCTAGTCCCTGGGGGGCTGTGATGACAGGTGCCCTGTGCTGTTAGGGCTGGGCACTCACCGCCACTGGACCAGCCGCTGTGTCCGTGTCTCCCGCTTCTCCTCCAGTGGCATCTGTTAGCCCTTGAGCATCAGATGGACTTTATCTCTCCAGGCCGCGGCAGTGATAACCCCACCTCTTGGTGGCTGGCGGCAGCAGCAGCAGCAGCAGCAGCAGCAATTTCGGGCTCTCATTAAGGAGCCCTGCTATCCGAATGCGCTTGTGAGAAACGTGACAAACCCAGGAAGGGCCTTTGCATGGGCGTAGAGTGCGTCTCCTTCTCAAGGCCAAAGTTCAGGCCGATGTCAACGGGACAAAGGGAAGAGGCGTGCAGTCCTCTCACCCTGGTTCAGTGCCCGGAGGCGCCATCTTCCTGCTGCAGGACGGGAAGACCCAGCAGTCTCACAACCACTTTATAAGTTAATACTTTATTCAGTGTATTTGCCTTTGTGCTAAAATTGAGTTTACTATAAATACATGTATAGGCAAACAAGTAAGATAAAACATTAATTTTAACTTTTGGTAAATACTTTTAGCATTAATGTCATCCCTTTTCTTGTCTGGTTGAGAAAACTGTATTGCTAAAGAGGAAACCACACCACATCTGCCAAGCTGCTGGGTTTTCTGTTCCATGCTTTCCACCATTCGGTTCTAAATAAGCCCATTTCCAGAAGGAATGAGCCGGTAATCCTAACAGAGGGGACCAGAAATTACACCTTTGTGTATAAAATGTATAAAGAATGATAGAACACTTCTGTTAAATGTTAACTATTCAGTGGCAGCTGCTACTTAGCTGTGTTGTTCCTGTTTCAAGCAATAACTGTGGATATCACAGCATGGAGCCTGCGGTGAGGCACATTTTAGGAAAAAAATTCTCAGCCCTCATCTAAAAGCCAGAATTCTGCAGGGCAAATCATGTCCCCAAATCTGTCGGCTGAAGTCCTAATCCCTAGTGTCTCAGAATGGGGCCAGAGTTACAGACAGGGCCAAGAAAGGGGGGATTAAGGTAAAAGAAGCTTGTGGGGGTGGCCCCAATCCCACAGGACCTGTATCCTTACAAGAGGAGATCAGGACACAGACACACACAGAGGGAGGACCCTGTGAAGATCTGGGGGAAGGAGGGAGCCTCAGCATGTGAGGACCTGGGTGATATTGGCATCTGCAAGCTGGGGAGGGAGGGAGGCCTCAGGAAGAAGCAGCCACCTGCACCTGGATCTGGTACTTCCAGCCTTGGGATGTGAGAGGATGAATTTCTGGGGTGCTTAGTCATGGCAGCCTCCACATGCGTGCGCTCGCGCACACACCCCCCCCCCCCCAAATCACAAGCTGCATATCTTGGCAAAATTTTGCCTTAAGAAAGGAAAACCACCCCTTAAACTCCTTGACAGCAGGGAGCACAGTTTTTTGTTTTTTTTGTTTTGTTTTTGTCTCCATCCTCCTTACTGTATCCTCACACTCAAATCATTAAACATTGGATTTCTGGAAGGTGCTACAGCACTGTTATAAAATGTGTATATTTGACTTAGGAAAAAAAGCAACAGCTTTATTGCTGCAAAACTTACACTATTAATTTAAATTGCTTAAATGCACTTCTCATGTATTAGTTATAAAGCTAGACTAAATTACACTCTTTAGTTTTTGCTGATGTTTTTATTACTTGGTGATATATGGAAAATTACATATCTTCAAGAGTTTTAATTCATCTTTTTTCTTTGTCAGCCTCTGGAGACAGGAAGCAAAAAAGCAATAAAATGAGATTCTTCCAGTACTTTATAATGATAAACCCAAAGCTTACCGCTAGCTTATTTACAATTTTATAGCAAACTTACAAAACAAGATTAAAAATATTACATCATTTGGTAACAGACTATATATTCATTGATATTTTGAAGTGTTATATATATCACGAAGCACCTGTAATAATAAACTTTTTAAATAAAGTTTAACATAGTTTTAGATTTACAGAAAAGTTGCAAAGATTGGAAAATGTGTTCCTACTTCCCACACCCAGATTCTTCTGTTAGCACCTGACATTAGTGTAGTGCTTATATGATGAACTGATGACCTTATTTGGAGTCAAGTTGGACAAATGTGGGGTCACTGGGGACCCTGACCCCTGGGAGTGGCCTCTGAAGAGGGGCAGAATTGTGGGTCTGAGTCCTTAGCCCAGGGGTCTGGGCTAACCCTGGGTAGAAAGCGTCAGATTTGGATGAAGTTGTAGGACGCCCAGTTGGTGTTTAGGGAGATGGAGGGTGGTTGGTGTGGAAACCCTCCCAGCCCCTCACCTGGTGTCCCACGTCAGGTTTTGAGAGGAGCCTGACAGGGAAAACAGTTTTCCTCCTCCTGTGACCAAAGGACCAATGTAAGATGCTCTGTCACATGAAATAGTTAACTGTGTTTCCGTTCATTAATCTAATGAAGAAAGTATATTTTGTGAGATTATGAAAGAAAACCTAAGTGTACCTTCCACACAGGAAATCCTCAAGAAATGAGACCCAAGAAGTGAATACAAAAGGCAGAGCCACGTTGTACAAGACAGACAAATGAAAGCAAGTTTGTGCCTTAACATCAGGAATCCAGCTGCCGCCCCCCCCCCCCACACACACACAAAGAAATAATGATAGAAAATTGTCAGGGATTGATTACAAAATAAATAACAATAAATATTCATAAACAGGGACCACAGTGTAGCAAGGTATGAAGATGGCTCCTTTGTTTCTTGTCTGACTTTCATTGTTTCCTTCCTTCTGCCAACTGGGGGCTTAGTGTGTTCTGGCTTCCCTGGTTCATGAAGTGTAACATTATGCTGTTTATTTGGTGTCTTTGTTCTTTTTTGATGTAGGTGTTTATTGCTAAAACTTCCTTCTTAGAACTTCTTTGCTGTGTCTCATCGATTTTAATATGTTGTGTTTCCATTTTCCTTTGTCTCAAGAGGCATTGAAATGTCCCTTATAATGTTTTCTTGGACCCACTGGTTGTTCAGGAGTAAGGGGTTTAATTTCCCTGCCTTTGCAAATCTTGTGAAATCCCTCCCGCTGTTGATTCTAGCTTCACACCCCTATGGTTGGAAATGGTTTTGATGTAATTTCAGTCTCTTAAATCAGGGAGGACTTGTTTTGTGCCTCCGTGTATAGTCTATCCTGGAGAATGCTCCTAGGCCTGGAGAAGAGTGTGTCTTGGGCTGCCTCTGGGTAGAATGGTCTCCATGTGCCCATGAGCTCATGTGTCCAACATGTAGTTCAAGAGTAATTGTTCTTCATGGATTTTCTGCCTGGAAGTTCTGCCCCTGCTGAGAGTGGGACCTGAGGCCCCTTAATGTTATTACTATTACTGTCTTGTGTCTGTCACTCCCTTCAGTTTACTAACATTTGTTTATATACGTAGGTGCTCTGACTCAGAGTAAAGATATGTTTACAGTTATGTGCTCTTGACAAAGTCACCCCTTCACCCTCACATCATGACTCTCTTGATGTCTTTTGACACTTTTGACTTAACATCCGTTTAATTTGACGTAAGTGTGGCCACCGTTGCTTCCATTTGCTTTCCATTCCCAGGGAATGTATTTTTTCATCCTTTCTCTTCCAGCCTATGTGTTTTGACCAGCGTAGTGAGGGAGTGGGAGAGAGGGAAAGACAGAAAGAGAGAGAGAAAGAGAAAAAGAAACAGAGACCTATCCTTTTATCAGGAACCCACTCCTTCAAGGAAGCATTGATCCCTTCCTAAGGGCAGAGCTCTCAT